AATTGATGCATTTTGCCCTTTCTCGTTTGAGCAGACTAAATAAAAATACTGAGCAGTTATAGCCTTCGTGCTCAGAGAAAAAGAAATCTGAAAATCTGGCAAAATGGATGGCATCAAAAAACACAAATTGACACAGGTATATTAGGGGAAATGGTAATATTAATTCCATTCTTGTTCTATCTCAAGGTCTCTCAAAAACAAGAGAAGTGTAGACCACTTTCACACATTTGTGGATAGAAAAGCCTTTTAAAGTAAAAGCAAGAGGTTTCTGAGGATTTTCTTTAGTCAGATGTACACAAAGCACAGGCAGTGTCTTTGTTCCCAGTCAGCCATGCATGTCAAAAGCTTCAGTAGATACAAGAAAGATCTAGGGAGAAAAGAGATGAGTCACCTCTATATCAGTAAGGTGTCTCACGTTTCATCCACACCATCACCCTGACCTTTGAAACTATTAACCCTAACCCCCTCCTCCCCTGCCAGGTATGGCCACCACACCTCAGGGACTGAAATATAAGGTGATAGAGCTGCCCTATCATGGAAACACCATCAGCATGCTGATCGTTCTGCCCTCTGAAGAGGACACGCCTCTGTCCCGTGTTGTCCCACACATCAGCACAGCCACAGTGCAGAGTTGGACCAAACTGATGCACATGAAAAAAGTCCGCCTGCTCATCCCCAAGTAAGACCCACACGTGCAACAGTTGCTCTGAAAACTCCTTTGACCGAATGTGACCGTAACATTGTGTGCACTTTGTCTGTAGGTTTACTGCTGATGCGGAGGTGGATTTGAAAGACCCCCTTTCAGCACTGGGAATAACAGACATTTTCAGTGAGGGCAAAGCTGACTTCAGACACCTCAGTGAGTGAAAGCACATTCAGTCCAAACCCAAATGTGACGCAGTGCCTCAGAGTATTTACAACAGGCTTACTTGGATACGCGAGGCTTGAAAGCATTGTTGGACTGCCAGAGCCAGTGAGAAGAATGAATTTGAGTCTAGCTGTCCAGTGTGAAAAACTGAACCCTCATTCTCCCTAAGTGATGGGCTGCTGCGAGCTCTAATTGAAGTGCTCTAGTGCCACCATGTGGTGAAAATGTGCGGTGGCTTTGTGGTGTAAACAAAGGCATTTATAGGATTACTTTTTAAAAAAATGATTAGCAGGGTCTGTCTGACAGATGTGGATTTTTGCTCTACTGTTATCATGTGGTTTACACTTTTACTCAATAATTAATCAACCACACTAATACTAAACATTTTGAGATGAGCTGTATCAGCTCCTTATTATGGATCTTTAAAAAAAGGGTGAAACAACAGCACTGCAACTATTCCCCGGTATTATTATTTTAGTTTTTTGTTCTTTCTGTTTATCATTATTTATTACATATGAGGTCTGGTTGCAGTCTGGACTAATAATGCTTTTAATCAGCTATTTCTTTGACAGCAGAGAAAATAAATACTCTCATAAGGTTCATTAAAGCGCTACATGAGCTGCTGTCAGTCACTGCATGTGGGTAATCTGTCAGTCCTTATAAATTCATGTTTACACATGTTTCGATGAAACAAGTCAGTGTCATCAAGCCAACAATGCATCATTTCCTTCCTTGGTCTGGACCAAATTAACCAAACTACATGTGTGAAACATCCTGAGATGAAATCCTGTGTGCAGTCTGATGAAAGCACTGTATTATTTGCATTGTCCTTTTCACAGAAGATATTTTGACACGGGGGGCAGGACATGGCGTGGGTAGTGTTGTAAACATAAACTTGAGGAGCTAGCATTGCTAGAACGCTAACAACAGCTGTTCACAGATCCTGTTAATTAGCAGCGTTTAACCAAACATTAACCTCTGTCACTGTACTTTCGCTCACTACAAGCAACCAGTATCTCTTCTTATCTGCTGCTTGTATTATTTCACCATGTTGTAAAACAGGAAGATAAACAAATTATATTTCCTCAATGTGAGGTCAGTCTGACTCGCTCTCTGAAACCAGCTGGATGTTGGAGAGCCAAAGTCAAAGTTCGGTCAGATTGAACTCTGCGCAAAGCGAAAGAGGCAGGTCAATTTGCAACCGGAAGCGTATGTGTCTCGCTCTGTTCACATAGAAATCAATGGGATGATTGAGGGAGATGAGTCAGTTAAGGACAGTCTGTCCACAGAGTCCTGAGAAGAACACCTGTGTGGGTGAACCATGAGCAAGGATGAATATTGTGGTTTGGTTCTATAATGCGAGTATATTATTCCACTAAAATACACAGAAACTGCATCATAACCATCATGTTGGATGTGAAGCACTGGCTGGTTAATGTCAGATTGTTAATAAAAGGCAATGATGGCATAGCATATCTGTAAACTAAGTCACTGTATGTGCTAAAGCTAGAATGAACACCTATTGTTTTCTCAGGTGCTGAGCCGGTGCACGTATCCAGGGCACTCCAGAAAGCCAAAATTGTGGTGAATGAAGATGGAACAAAAGCAGCAGCTGCCACTAGTGAGTATTTGCACAGTGAGCCTGGCCTTTGACTTGTTGAGCCAAGCACAAAGCTGTATGCTTAGTTGATGAGACTGTTCTATGTTGATAATGTACTTAAAGTATTAGTACATCTCATTAGGCTCCTATACTTTTTATAATGTGTTTGCTTTTGTGTTTAGCTGCCATTTTGCTGGCTCGGTCCTCCCCACCTTGGGTTACAGTGGACAGACCTTTCCTCTTCCTCATCAGACATAACCCAACAGGTACAGTCTTCTATTTCCATCTGGGTTTACTCACCTTTAAAGGTATATATCATAGATTTATATTGAAGAGCTAACATTTGTTTTTGAACCATTAGAAGTATGGTGTATAATATATAATATAATATAATATCGGTCACCAGTGTTAGGCTCAGTGAAACCAGGTAACCTACAGAATGCAGTCCTTCACTGTGAGCTCTCCCTGTGTCTGTCCCCAGGTACTATTCTCTTTATGGGCCAGATCAATCAGCCTTGAGCCCAGCCATCACTGGCCTGCCCCTGGTACTGTATCATCGTAGGCCAGCACGGGAAATGCTTCTACACTGCCACGCATGAACACACACACACATAAACACACACCCACATACACACACAAACTTTGCTGTAGACTTATGTACAGTGTGGACATGTTATTTGTTTTAAATATTGCTTCTTATGTTACCCTTTTTCTGTAATGCATATAATGCGTTATGAAAATGTTCTGCAGACTAAATTTTCCAGCTGTTTTAATTTTTTTGTATACTTTTTTTGAATTTATTACATTTTTAAAAGACTTTGAATGTCAATTGTGTATTTTCTCAACTCTGGAGTAGGATAATCAGTTTGTTTATGTCACCATTTCAGTTTAAAAGTTCTCCATCTCAAGTCATGTCACTCCAGTCTGTTCTAAGTTTCACTCCTAAGTTATGGCAATGTACGTCACACGTTGAACGCTTTGCATTCAGCTACTTTACAATAATTGTTTCCCTCACTGAGGAAGTCTTCTGTTACTATACTTGCTTCATATGTGATCAAATAAATACACATATTTATAACATCAATGATTTTGCCTTACTTATTTCCAGTAATAGTATTTCTGAATGTTGACATGTGACATGCCGCTGTGCTGTTTGCATTTTCAATGACAGTGTGTATTATTAAAACACATCCATGTATTCCAAGCCATTAACCCTGTTGAGGGATACGGGTTTAGGCGAGAGGGGGGCTATATTCTGGATAGGTCAGTAGGTTTGTTACACAGGCTGAAACACACAGACTAATATATACTTACAGTTTTGAAATTGGAAGTTCTTATTATAGTAATTATTTAGAATTTGTATTAAAAACACATGTCCTTGCAGATTCATTCATAATTTCAATTTAACATTAGATACTTTGAGTTTGAGATTTCTATTGTTGAAAAGTAAATTCTGATTCTAGAGTTGTAATTATAAACTTTAATTTTTAACTTTACATTTTCCTTTTTATTACTATAATGTTCAGTTCTACATGCATTGGACCAGAGGCACAAACTGAACTTATTATCAGTGTCTTACAGGTCCAACACAGTATAGACACACTTTTAATTCCTCCAGTTTATTGTTTTCCAGAAAGAAAAAAATAATAATTCTAGAAGCCTCTGAGCTGCAGGTTCAGTCCTTAAAGCGGACAATGGGATTGGTCACATTTGGGGACTGTTTTTATAACATCACTGGTGTGTCTATTTGAAGGGTCCTGACTTTGTACATGAGTGGCCTCTCTGACATGGGGCTACATTTAGTTTATTTTTCCACTCCAGGGATTTGCACAGACATTTTTATGGGCAGTGGCTAAAACACACATTTATCTAACGTGTGTGCAGGGAGACACACACTGACTGTACCTTGTACCTGTCTGGAGAAGTGATGAGAATATAGTACCCTAAACACTGAGTAGACTATTACACAGCATGTAAAAGATGGAATATTAATGAATAACAAATAATAAATCAATACATTATATATATATTATAAATGACATGAATATGATGCTTATTTACTGTATAGATGCATGTATATGTGAAGAGTCACTGGCCCTAAGTCATGCTTTGCTCAGCTCAGGTGGATCATTAATTCTGCATTAACATGTAACACAACCACAACCCACTGTACAAAGTGCCTGACTGTATCTCAGCATATTCACATCCAGCCCCCACTGCTATTTATCACATATTTACATTATTCTGCACTTTACTGCTTTTTGCACCTCTGCTTAGAAGCTACAGCATTTCATTGTGTTGGTTCTACTCTGTGCAGGGGCAATACAGTTGAAGCTAATCTAATCTCAGGCACCACTCTGGTTCTATGTCCATCTGCTGCCTTGCTGTGCAAAACATTAAAAGCCCTTCAACCTTGTGGGTAATATGGCATCTAGTGATTCTCGCTCACGTCCCAGTTGTGTGCAGTCTGAATGCGTTGGGAGCGTTGTTGCAGTCACTACGGTAATCCTGACAGCGGCTCCGGGTGTCAGCTGATCCTCCTCCACTGGCGAGTGAGTGAGGAGGAAAAGCAGCAGAAGGAAAACACTGCTGGTCGCACTGTTAACACCATGGCTGCGGAGATTCATTCAAGGCCCCAAACCGCTAGACCTATTCTTTTAAACAAGATCGAGGGACACTCAGACGCTGTCAACGCAGCTGTTTTAATACCTAAAGAAGATGGAGTGATCACGGTCAGCGAGGACAGGTGAGTTTGCCAAGCAGGCTAACGGTAGCGTAACGGCACTGACGTTAGCTAGCGGGCTCGGTCTATTTGCTGGTCATTGCACTCATAATTCCTGGTTCCAGGTGTAAGAAGGGAAACACAAAAGAGGAAAAGCAGCGTTTTTGTCTGCTCAGAGAGAAATGTATTGGTTGGGAATTTTCCATACGGAGCCACTGCTAGCGTAGGAGGGTGTGCGGATAGAAAGCCATAAAGAATGAGTCATTTCCATAAACTGTCCGCCAACAAACAACCAAGCCTAATAGTAAACGGGAATATAACAGTTAATAATTCTGTAACGCTGGGTGTTACAACCCATAATTTCCTTAACATAACAGTGTCAGTATGTGTTAGGCTATGTTGACCTAACTAACGTAGCTAGTTAGCTCGTTACTGCTAATAGTAAACAATACTTTCTCAAAGTAGCGACTGCTGCCTTCAAGTGCTCCTCGTATCCTGACTATAGTTATTTTATTTATCGCAAGTGCTGTTTAGCTTCTAATAACACTATTCATTTAACTTATTGGCCGCTGTTTGACTGGATGAAAACAATAACAACCAAGAGTACATTTACAAGTTGCTTTATAATAAGTGGCTGGTACTACAGGCAGTACTTGTTGAAATGGCTGCGGCCCCATGAACACCACATACATAACTTGGGTATAATAGAAAATCCTTTTGTTGTGGCGTTTATGAGCCATACAATTAATACCATATTTTCAGTAAGACTTGAAGGCAGCAGTCCAAGTGTAATGTGACAGACCTCTACCCTTACTCTCACTGTGGCAGGAGCCTGATAATCTCAGTTATGAAGGGGTAAACATGATTATGTCAGTCCATCACAATCACCAAGTTACACTGTAAGTGACATCAGTAGAGCTGTCACACTTAGGTAACAAGTCGAGTGTGAAGAAGCAACATCCTCATTTGAAGATAAAGGAACTTAGCTGCTGTAAAGAAAGTCTAACCTGCCTGATAATCAAGGGGGAAGTTGCGGTTCCTTGATGAAACAGGACTGTACAGCTGCTTTGCTGCTTTTGATATCGGTTATGCTCTCCATTTGCAGACTCAGTAAAACCTTAAACCCGATTCCTTAAAAAAAGGCTGATGGAAGCTTAGTTTAAATGTACTTGAACTGAAAATGTAATGTCGTTTTCAAAAACACAACGTGACAGTATGTGATCTTTTTAAAGTTGTGCAGTTTTGTACTTTTTATTTTTAGGAGGGGAAATGCACACTAAAAGTGTTGTTTGTCAAAGTATCAAAAGCGATTCAGTATTGAATGATCACTTCTGTAATGCTGTACGGTTAGATGACAGAAAAAAGACTACAAGAATACTTTTTCACATTTTTAGCTGAAAGGATTTAAACACACTGTTTATAAATGTGACTGCTTTTACTGCTGTTTGTGAACAGAATCAAGCATTGTGTGTAAAGAGAATTAGGGCTGGTTTCCCAGACGAGGATTAAGCTCAGTCCTACATGAGGGCTTTCTTCAGTGGATATTTCCATTGAGTATTTCCGCTGAAAGTATCATTTTTAGATCAAGTATATATTTTGTAACTGCAGGTTAGGTCTATACAAACAGTAGGTAAAAGATTGGAACTGCATTTTATGTTCATTTAGATCAAAAATGTACCTTCAATACACAAAATAGACTACAGAATGACCCTTGGAGAAGACATTGGAGAGTGCTTTGAATGTGATGTTTTATCATTTTCCTCCAGAACCATCCGGGTTTGGCTGAAAAGAGACAGCGGTCAGTACTGGCCAAGCATCTACCACACAGTCTCCTGTAAGTAAGACGGCATTGCTTCAATGGGAAAAGGATGTGTGCGCACACTTTTTGTCTTTTGTTATTTTTAACCGCTGCAGCAATATAATGCACACCTCTCTGCGGTGTGGCGTGAAGATGGTGATTTCCCCGCTAATGGCGACTGTTTCTTTTCTCTTTTAGCTCCATGCTCTTGCATGTCGTACCACCATGACAGCAGACGCATCTTCATAGGCCAGGACAATGGAGCTGTTGTGGTGAGTGAAGCTAGCTCAAACAAATGTCTTCATATTCTCGCTCCAGGCTCATTCTTTTGGTTGTTCAGTGTAGTTTTAAAGAGCTTGCATATCTGGTTAATATAGGCCACAGCTTCAATATTTGGACTCCTTCAAATGCCTGTGGGGGCAGGATAGTTATTTGAAATGTGTTTTTTGTGTGTGTTTGCTTGTCTTCTAGGAGTTTCTCATCTCTGAAGATTTCAACAAGATGAACCACGTCAAAACATATCCAGGTGAGAACTGTGCTGTGCAAATGCAGCTGAGTTGAGACTGTGGGCAGAACTACATTGTTTATGTTTCACTGACCATGCAGACATCACAATTGAACTTTTTTCATTTGTGATGTATGCTGGCTCAAATCACAAAATACATTTAAAATATTTAACAGAACTAGAATATAAGCAAAATGAAGCACAACTGACAAAACATATCTATGTTTTGTACCCCAACAACTCCTACAAGGCTGTAATAATGAGGCAGGACTTGCCTTCGTTAACAGGTAGCAAGTGTTTGCAAATATTTCCATTGAGAACTAGAAGAATGTCCAGTCTTATGGATTGCCAAGCTGAATGTTTGTTTAGATGTCAAAGTATCACAGAAAAATATATTCTTGTGAGAAAAGCTATACCACATAACAGCATCCTTCATCTTATTCTCTATCTTGTGTCCATCAGTGTTCATCAGCGACTGGTATTAAAATATTAGGGTGTCTACACAGCTTAAAAAAAGAAGCTATTTTCTCAGGTGGCATGTCCACTGCAGATATTTGTATTACATTATAAGGATATTTACTCTTGTTAGGCTTGTGTAAATCCTTAGAGTCAGTTGGATCTGTGCATATAAGGAAGTGTTTCTGTGTATGTATTGTGTATGGAGACGTGGCCCCTCCCTGCCCCAGGAGACTCACGTTAAGCAAGACTATGTACACTACTGAGAAAATTTAGTGTTACAAAATGGTTTCGTTTTCCTTTTTACAGCAAAGGGGATAACCCTATGTTATTCCTTATGAGTATAATGATTTAAAATTATAAATGTAGATAGCTGCCTCTCAATTAATAATCCTTAAACTGTGTTGTTTAATGTTGACATTAACACACATAGATATAAGTAAACCATAAATGACTACAAGGCATTGTGTTTTGTCAGTACAAAGAGTCCTACATCAGCCTATATTTTGACCCTTCATACTTAAAGGTGGCTTGTGGAGTTTTCTTGAAAACAAACAGTTATGTTTACTTTGAGTCTTTACTCACCGAAATGCATCGCGTGTATCCATGAAGCATGACAAATGTGTTTCCTTCGACTTAATGTATTTATGTCATCATTGTTTACATCCATGTTTTCTAGCTTACAGGCTTCTTCCCTGCCCTAGGTGGCACATTACTTTCTTTGCGTGCTATTGCCACCAACTCTTGATCGGTGGAGTAGTTTAGTACCAGCAGCAGGACTGTGTATTCGGTTAAGTGGCCTGTGTGTAAATACGTTTCTCTGTAGCACATGTAGTGGTCAAAAACTCCTAGTCCTGTTTGGGTATTACCAATTCTTTGCTTACTGATACTGACATGAAGAAGTTACAGCTCCAGCAAGCACTCATTTACAGTGTTTACTAGAGCTGTTCCATTGGTCAAATGATGTTACAACTATTGTGGTCATCATTTAATCGTTTCAGTCAATTTTCAAGCAAAAATGGTGAAAAAACATTCTCTGGTTCCAGCTTCTCAAACGAGAGGATTTATCATACATACCTATAAAGTGAATGTCTTCCAGTTTTGGACTTTTGTTTGAACAAACCAGGACTCTTTGTCATGATGGTCAACGTGGGCTCTGTGAAGTTGAGATGTATTTTTTCACAATCAGTAATGAAAATAATTGTTAGTTGCAGCCCTAGTCATTACATCTTGATATCATCTCCTGTCATAATTGGAAGGTTATAAGTAGAACACAGTTCCTGTGACGGTATCAGCAGCCATTTAGCCTCCTCAATGGAAAGTCTAGCTTCGGGGGAAAATGGCCAGCCTGTTGCTTTAGAAGGGAAAACACCACGTCACCACTGGAATGCTCCATCTGGTTTCTACCACTTGTAGCAAAATCAAGCAACAGAGCCCGAACAGCACAAACATGAGTCACAATCAGATCAAACAGGCGTTAGGATGTGTCTATGCACTTCAAAGACAGGCAGGGCTTAACATTGCCATTTTGCTTTTTGGCAGTCAGTGTTGCTTTCTTCACAGCTGCACACAAGGCAATATTGACTTCTTTTTTTAGCAACCCACTGGCCAGTGACAAAAACAGCTTACATATGCTCAGTCTGGTTATAAATTGACAGAATGATAGAAATCATTTTGGAAAATGCTTTCCTCTCTGTAGTTCGGATTAATTGCTTAGCAAAATCCGTACTGCGTTATTATGTGAACATGTTCATGGTGGCTTGCACACAAGCAGTGTCTTCTGTACAAGGGACAAAAACAATCAGGCAGCAAGGACAGCAACAAGTTACAGAAAAAAGATAGAAGATACATATATTTTAAATGTTTCTTAAACGCTTACAGTTACTTCATTGAATTCCAGGAAGGAGGACGCGTACAAGAGGACAGGGAAGATCAAAGCTTCAGCCCAGAGCAATTTACTGCCATGGTTTGATCATGAGGCAGTATAAATATGCAGATAATTTTCTCATTCATTAAAAGAGGGTAAAATAGAAAGTACATGTACCATTAAGTTAGATTTGACTCAGTTCTAATAGTTAATCTTACTATCTTGTAGACTTGAAGCAGAAAGAAATTACTGTTTTTTTTTTTTTTTTTAGGGATGTACAATTGTTTTAATTTAAAGCTGCTATAATCAGTATTTTCATATTAACAGTGGCTGAAATGTGTATTGAGAAAGGTATCGCTTCGGTGATGAAGAGAATCATCAGTCATCTCTGCAGATCCCTACAGCTACTATCTACAGCGCGTTTAGCATCTTGGAGCTCATTGTTTTGGTTTTACAGCCTACAGTTAAACTGTTTGGGTTCACTCTTAGTGCTGTACATTACCCTCATGTGTTGGCCAGAAAAACAGCTCTGAAAGACTGCTAATGTTGCCCTGTATTTGCTAGACTCAGAAGGGGATAATATCATATGTCAGTGTTGTGCTTAAAGCTTGTTTTGCTGCCCCCAAGTGTCCAAAAAATGTATTAATGCAGCTTTAACTGAAGTGTGACCAATGCTGAAAAGTGAGCAAAAAATCTATTGTTGTTGTTGTAGTCATATTGCATAAATAAATAACATCTCCTGTGTATTGACTATCAGCAGAGTTTTGGTATTAAATGTTGTATTATATCAATATAGCTGTTGGTGAAGAGTTACAAAATACAGTGTTTACATCGGGTAAAACTAGTAACATTAAATACAGAAAGTCAACAAATTGTGCACCTTTTTAGCAGTGATCCCCAGGTGGACCTTTAAGACTGAAGGGAGTTCAAATCGTTTGAAGGGATTCGTCTGTCTTAGTCTGGATTACAGCGACACTAAGCAGGTGGGATCAGTACATGCAAAGGGCATATTAGTCTTAGATGCTCATCCATGACGGCTAAGATTTAAAGTCTAATGGAATAGACGGGATCTTGTTTGATGTTTATCCAACATGACTTAACACTTTATGTGTTTGTGCTTTGCAGCCCACCAGAACCGTGTGTCAGATATGGTGTTCTCCCTGGAGAGTGAGTGGGTGGTGAGTACCGGCCATGACAAGAGCGTGAGCTGGATGTGCACCCAGAGTGGCAGCATGCTGGGGAGACACTACTTCACCGCCTGGGCCTCGTGCCTACAGTATCCTTCATTCACTCCCTGTGTTTACAGTACATGAGTGCATCTATCAGCTGAAGTAGTAGCAACAGACAGTGTTTAAGCCCTGACTCCCCGCTCAGATACGATCACGAGACGCAGCATGCCTTTGTTGGCGATTACTCAGGACAGATCACGCTGCTGAAACTGGAGAAGCAGACGTACTCCATCATCACTACACTGAAGGGTCATGAAGGTAAAGACACACACTGCATACATGTTAAGAATTGTCCACACAGAGCTATTGTTTTCTCCTAGCGTAGGTGAAGTACACAGCACAAGTACTCCCATACTTCTGCACACAAGCAGGCTTCTGATGCTGAAGCCAGATATGGCCGCAGTAAACAGTGGATGACCCAGATTCCTCTATGTGACATCATTATGTTAGAAAAAGAAAGACCAATTGAATCCAGCATGATGACACACGCTTTTTTGTTTCCATAAAAAACACTTTTTTCAAATTTGCATTTTGCATGATTAAAAAAAGCTCTTTGCTTGAGTTAAATGCACAGTATGTCATTTCTGCAGTTATGGGTCTCTCAGTCAAAACAATAACAATAATAATAAGACAGACTTTGAGGACATTGTGAAGTAGCGAGGGATCATGGGAGTTGTTGTCTTCATTGTTGTAAAAAGCAATTAATACTTGTGCTCCATCACAAGTGAGCAATACAAACAGTAAACAATAGATGGCTGGCTAGCTAGTTCGCCGACTTCCTTCCTTGCTCCCTGGTGTTTCCGGTGTTTGCCCGGGAGTTATAGCAACTGAAAGGGGGTGAAGGCGACCAAATCAAATGCCCCATTACCTGAGTAAAATTACAGATTACTCTGGGCATTGTGACAAACATTTGGAGTGTTGAGCCGCCACACACCGCAACAAAAGCTTTATGGGGTCTGACATTTACTGTTCAAGTGAGTAGAGCTCTTTTGGCAGGCTGTGAGACCACTTTTCCACAAGAAATCCCATCATTTGGTTTAGATGATGATGATGGAAAATGGTATCTCTCATACTGCTCTGGAAATTCCCATATCTGCTTGTCTGGGTTGAGATGTGGCAACTGTGTTGTTTCCATGCTTGTCAAGCTGCTCAGTGAAACATTTGGGCCGTTTAGATGGCAGTAATAGTTATTATCATTCCCGGAAACTCCCTTCACAATACAAATGCTTTATCAAAGGATGAATGTATTAGTTCTCTGGGATTCATTTTCAAGGGTTCAGTGTAGCTGTGCCGAGAAAATGGGTCCCATAGCAAAAATTAGCCGCCAGAAGACTTCACTGTGTTCTCCTTTGGGCACTTTTCACACATGTGCTCATGAACTAGTTGAAAGAGGATGAGGGATGATTCATCTGACCCGATGGTACTCTTCACTACTCAAAAATCCTATTTTCCAATCCACAGATGTATTGCGTACAGGTTAGCCAGTTGGGACAGACATGTCAGTGTGCCATTAGCTTTTAAATAAAATATACAAATCCTTACACCATAACAACTTTTTATTTCCCAGCTCTCTCTTTGATGTGCAGATGTGCCCATGATAGTACATACTGATTAGGCTGATAATAATGCATAATAATGGGCGTGGTGCTGGTCTCTAGCTGTGTACAAGCAGGAGTTCCACCCAAATATTTATTGCAAGTTATGATTGATGTAATTTGGAAAACAGAAGGGTAAAGGTCAGACCTCGCCTTAGTCTCACTTCAAGGTTTGTATATTTGCCCTTGTTAGAAAAGGTTTTTTCTTTTGTCATACTGCCCTTCTTTTCATCTTAACATGGCGTTAAACTGGCCCTGAATGAGGAGATATATATGAATATTCACAACTTTGCTTTTACATGTGACATTGTTTCATTTTCAGATACAGGTCTTTTGCAGGTCGTTTTTCCCTCCACATGTCAGCTGATGGAAACATGCCTTCAGCAGAGGAATATGAAGTTATAACTTTTCCACAGTCCATCCCTTCCACATTGTCAGTAATGTGGCCCAGCGTGTGGTCTGGCTCCCTACAGTTATATCATAGTGTGCTATTACAGTGTGTGGCTGTATGAGGATACTATGTGTACAAGGTGAAGTACCTGAGAAAGCTTTAGAAGCTGTCAGCTGACAGGATTCCACGGTAGTATGGTGCTCTGTGTATGTGCAGTGGCCTTGTTTCTCATGTACAGTAGCTACAGTTACCGCCAGCCTAGTCAGTCCACCGCCACCTGCCTCAGGCTATTATTCATCACATGACTGGTCTAACTTCAAGAGCGTAATTGTCTGTCCCTGAGTTCTTTTCTTGTTGAGAGCTGAATGTTTCACTGGAAATATCATCTGCCTTCTGCCAAAAAACGGTCTGTCGCTGACCTTTGTGAGACCAGTGGCAGCAGCTTTTGGGCTGTTTTTCTTTTTGCACCTTGTTTCGAGATTGAAAATGATCAGGATGCAAGCAAGGCACTAAGAAACACTATACTGTATATAATGATCAGTAACCCATTCAAAAAAGGGCAGATTTATACCTTTTAAAAGCTCCAACTGTAGTTAGCTCCAGGTTTCACATGTGGTCAGACCCTCCTGTAGTTCTCCCAGCAGGCACCAGGTGGAGCCAACACGTCAGACCATAACACTGTCCCTCAACAGCCTCTTGCAGTACATATTAACACATGTAACAAGTGTGTTTCTGTCTCTCTCCGTTCATCCGTCTGTCCCCTCCAGGCAGTATAGCAACCCTGTGGTGGGACCCTGTCCAGAGGCTGCTGTTCTCAGGAGCCTCCGACCACAGCGTCATCATGTGGGACATTGGGGGCCGCAAAGGACGAACGTTACTGTTGCAGGGACACCAGTAAGTCCAGTCAGTATTTCGCATATATGCATGGATGACTTTGCTTTACCTCCTCTGTGTTTGTCAGGGATCGGGAAGCTTAAAAACTAAGTCAGGGGAAAAGGTGGTATCGGCAACAGCTGTTTCATATCTCCACTTCTTGATTTTCATACATATTATACCACCTCCCCCTGTGACAGCAGTCATCAACAAAGCCCATGTACACTGATGCGTGTCAGAGCAAGCCTCCATGGATCCTGTTGCGTCCTAGCAGGATTTATAGAAGGTTGTCTCTCAGACACCCATAAAAATGACAGTTGTAATGCTGTTCTAGTCCTTAATCCTGTGTTGACCCAGTCTTTATCTCTTTTCAAGCCTTTTTGGTGATCACTCCCTTTTTCTTGTCTTCCTCCTCTCCTCTTTTTAACTAACGTATTGAAATGTATATAATAGGCTTCCCATGAACAGTAGTGGTACAACAGTTGAGCTGGGCTTTTGTCAGTGTAGTCTAGGTGGTCAGCAAAACTATTAGAAGTTGTCATGATTGCTTAATACATCTGTGTGTGTGATATTTTGGCATTTGGGTTTTGATTTTAAAGTTCTGAGCTGCGTAGTTAGATGTTGATTCACCCTGGTCAATGCAGTTTTACACTGGGATTTAGTTCTGATTGAAATCATTGATTTGATTGAAACTTTTTCTCCCTTTTCATTCTTCCTCTGTATCCAATGTCTCCCTCAGCGAACGGGTTCAGGCCTTGCGTTACCTTCAGTTGACCAGGCAGTTGTTGTCGTGCTCAGCCGACGGAGGCATCGCAGTGTGGAACATGGACGCACAGAGAGAAGAGGTTTGCATCACTATCATAACTGCCACAAAATAAAGGCTGTAATAATACAGGCCGCTCAGATACCTTTATTTTCACATTTTACTATTTCTGCTTTCTTCTAGCTTAGTTTTTTGTTGATGTAAAATGCAAATAATAAAGTATCTTACATTAAATTTAAATTGACTTGTTTTACAGGCACTACTACTATAAACTGTACAGCACTTACTGCTCACTTTGTGTAATGGTCAAAGCAGCATACAGTAGCTACCAGGTCATGTTTTATTTTTTATTAAATTTTTTTTTTTAGTTATTAAAAATTGGAGTAAAGAGCTTTGTCTCTCCTCTTTAATTTAGTGCTCTACATTTCGGTGTTTGGGCTTGTTTAATAAAAACTTCATGTGTGTCTGCAGGCGCCCCAGTGGTTAGACAGCGACTCCTGTCAGAAGTGTGAGCAGCCATTCTTCTGGAACATCAAGCAGATGTGGGACACTAAGACCCTGGGGCTCAGACAGGTAGGCTAGTCTGACCAGTGTCTCTAGCAGTTGTGAGTCCCTCAACCCTCAGTCATGCTAATATATGGGTGTTTTTTTCATTGTGCAGCACCACTGCAGAAAGTGTGGCAAGGCTGTGTGTGGAAAATGTAGTTCTAAACGCTCCACATTTCCAATCATGGGCTTCGAGTTCCCGGTGCGGGTGTGTGATGCCTGCTTTGATACCATCAAAGAAGAAGAGTGAGTGAAGGGCTTTTCTAAAATTTCTAATAACTGGTCACATTATACTGCTATTTTCAGATAACTGAGGGCTTAAATGTTGTGTCTGTGTGTGTGTGTGTGTGTGTGGTGCAGTCGAACAGCATTGGCTACGTTCCACGAGGGGAAACACAACATCGCCCACATGGACATGGACCCATCCAGAGGCCTGATGGTCACTTGTGGAAGCGACCGCATTGTTAAGGTCAACAACAGTTCTTTGATACAGGATAATTCATGCATGTATTCAGGCTGTGTCAAACACACACTGATCTCAGATTTAGATAGGAAATCAGGGTGCCTGCAGGCAGTCCTAAAACCCTAAAAATGATCTAAACTTAAGTCTCAAAAGAGCCTATTGATTTATTGGTCATGTATGGTATTTAACATTTATGTGATTGCATTCTTATAAAAGAGCTATACAGGCACTCTCAATTTTGCAGTAGATGTGGTTAACTTGAATTCATGTCCGTTACATTGTACTCAAGTTTTCAAACTTTCCTAAAAACTTCTTAAAGTACTGCTGCAGCATTATCTACCTCTCCTCTGTCCATCTGTACGGTCCATTTGTTGACGCCCATTTGACTCAGAGGCTACAAGTCTATTAAGCAACGGGAAAGTGTAGGATTACTAGGAAATATTAGTTAGGAAAAAGCAAACTACAGACCTTTAACAGCAACCTTCACAGATGTAACCGATTCAAACATGAGATTTTTGATTGGATGTATCACGCTTCAGTTCAAGCCTGGAGTTTTTTTTTTGTTTTTTTTCAACGAATCATGTTTTAATTGGTGCATTGTGTATTTTGTTGTAAATGATCCA